GGGATACGCCCAGAGTCACGGAACGGATTAAGTTCGTATCCCGAGGTACCACTGTAGCTGCATTTGAGAAAAGCACTATCTGTCAGAAATAGGGCTACCAGACCTAGATTGCAAAAAGCCAGATGACCACTGGATAACAGCAAAGAGCTTTTTCTGTATCTCTTTGCTTCAATGCAGGCCACATCAGAAACAGTCTACCATCATACTTCTCTGAGCTTTTCATTTATTGAACATTTTAACATGATTTCCTCTGGTATTGCAGTTGCCTTAATTTCTGAATTCTCCCAATTTTTATTCAAACTATGTTTTCAAGTATGCCAGTGAAAGCAAGTTAAGAATTAATGTAGATTCATACACATATCTATAGATTTTTTTCTTAGACTTCATTCCTGTAAATCAGCTTTAGTGGTTCTGATTACAACATTCATGTTTACACATTCCAAAATCAATACTTCACGATAGCATCTTGAAATACATCTTAACTAGTAGTTAGATACATTATGTGCAACCCTTTCCACATTTCTTCAGTTATAAACTCCTGGTGAACCAACCAGAATTGAGATCTAAGCAGACATGTACAGAACTGTATACATTAGCTGAACTTTATTATTACTGAAACCATTTAAAACATCCCTAACTTATCAAAAAGATCTGTATAAATCCAACCCACATTTTCAAAAGGTTTGAATCTTCTTGTAAGAAAAACATAAATGTAACAATAAATAGTGGGTATAAATCAATCCAGAGTACTCACTCAAGGCAAAAATGACCAGACTCAAATTATCATATTTTAGACACATTATGCAAAGGTGGAAGGAAAAAGAAGAAGAGGATGACCAGCAGGAAGGTAGCTAGACTCAATTATAGAAGCAATGGGGATACTGTTGGAAGACCTGAAGGACAACTTGGGGAATATTATCCTGGAGCTCTATCTATGTGGTTGCTAAGTGTTGACACCATTTTGTGACACATAATCCAATAGAAGAGAATATAGGTGGCTCAGGGTTGAACTGTGGAGTCCTTGGTGCTCTCTGAGATTGTTTGCTTGCAGACATTTCATTACCCAATTAGGTAACATCATCAGTGTTGGTGAGTGTGGGGTTTGCTCCCTGCTAACTTGCCCTGTTAGTGTTGGTGGGAGTGTGGTTTTCTCCTTGGTAGTTCCTTGATTAGGCTATGGTTTTCTGCTTGATTGTTTGCCTGGTGTTAATCCCTGCTTATGTGTTCTGGTCTTTTTGTTTCCTTCTTAGCTTTTTTATTGTCTCTTTTGAATGGTGTGTAAATGGGGTTTATCTCTATGTATCTATTGATGGGTGATTTATCTGAATGTCAAGCTTCCAGGAATTCCCTAGTGTTTTTGGATTTATCTTGGTTTAAATTCAAAACAGGGAGCAAGCTCCACACTCACCATCACTGATGTTACCTAGTTGGGTAATGAAATGTCTACAAGCAAACAACCAAGCTCAGAGAACACCAAGGACTCCACATAATCAATCAATCAATCAATCAATCAATCAATCAATAAAGCCAAAACCTAAAACACAGCTATAAAAAGGTCCTTGAAATAGATTCAAACAGAACCAATAAAATATGAGGTGAAGTTGCTGGTGCCTTTTTTGTGACAGGTGACGTACCAAACTGTCAAGATCAGGCTTTTAATGACCATTTCAATTAGTAACAAATACAGCAGGGCAATGCTTCAAATTTAAAGATAAAAAAGCTGCTTCAGAGTATGCAGAATGTGTACCTTGCACCTATCTGCAATTCCATAGAGGAAATTTGCCTTTATTTGGGATTGTGTTGCAGCTGTAAGCAGCATCCATGCAATCTCAAGAAAAGATGCAGCCACACTCTCCTTTTTCTCTTTACATCCTAAGCACTGCGCAGCCCTACAAACTAGGACTAACTTGAACTTAACAGGATTGCTATTGGAATTAATTACATAACCTAGGAGAATACAAAGAAGCACAACCTACAGTTGCTTTGCTTAAACAAGGAAATTAAATAATCTTTAAAAGCAGTAACATCAATAAGAAGATATGTCAGCATGCACCAGCTAACAAAATGTAAAGAATTAAAAGGTGACTATTTTTGATATAAATTCTTACTAAAAACGTTCAAAGCGTTAGTTGTTATGCAATCAATCAATCAATCAATCAATCAATATAGTTTTCATTTGAGAATATGTCTCCATAACATCTGTGGAAAGAGTTGAAAGCAGATGGTACCGTTTAATTCCACCTAAATAAGACAATTAAAATGTTTCTTACTGATGCCATCTTCCCCTTGCCTTCCTTCATCCCCAGGAGAACCAGGAAATCCATCTTCTCCTCTCTCTCCAGAAAGACCAGGGTCACCAGCATCTCCTTGAATACCTGTACAAGATAATTGAAAGCATATTTGCTTTTAAAATAATTGGATGTTATTATGGTGTATGTTAAATGAATATAAGATAGCAAAGTTAGTTTAACCCTTTGGTCCAGGGTGTGGAGCTCCTTGGGTTCCTGGTGGTCCACGTTGCCCGTTCTCTCCAGGATCCCCCTGTAAAAATGGCAAAGCTGAATGACCTTTCACTAGAGGAACACAAGGTAAATGATGAGCTCTGACGGTGAGATATAATTGCATCCAATCACATGACCCCATTGCATTGCTAGGCAATGGTATGTATTGAGTAAAGAATGGATAGAAATACACACCTGAAGCTGCTGCCTTAATTGACTTTCATTGCTTTAGTGTAGAAAAAGAAACGGGGGGGCAGGGAAGGAAGGAACCACAAATTCAACATTGCTAACCTTAATGCCTGGCAAGCCATCTTGACCAGGAAATCCACGTGATCCAGTTTTACCCTGAAACAAATTGTGGAATCTGTTTGTTTCTTTAAGAGGATAAAATATGTTAAAAGTGATTAGGAATTCACAAACGCATGGAAAATATTTTCATTATCTCACAGACAGTGGAAGATGTGTGCATTATTAACATGGCAGCTGGAGAAAGCTATTGTATGTTCTTTGCGCTGATTACAAAATAGTAAGAGAAATCAGACAGAAAGCCTATCTGGTTCAGGATCGTGTTTCAAGGGTAACTAGGTAGTTACTGATAAGAAACTTATTAACCCTCTGTAATTCCCCAGTCACTGTTTTTCAGAGATGTATACAGTACCTCTGATCCTGAAAATTGCGTATAAGCAACCTGACTAGTTACCATTAACAGTCTTAATCGCCATGAATATCCAGCATTATCGTATGAAATGGAAGGTCAGATCTTTCAGCACATAAAGAGTCAAATTTATTATGGCAATTTAAAGAAAAGTCTTTTCCATAAGACTCTTAGCTGTTTTTGAAACACATTTGCCATTTTAGCCTCATTTCCACAGTTTGGAGACAGCTATAAGAGCTCTACATGATTCTCTTCATTCCCCTCCCCACCTTTTTTATCACCTTAGTTAATTTGATGAAATCTTGATGCAACTTCAAACTTGGCTATCTTCAATCTCCAGAACTTTTATGAATAGGTTAAAAAGCAGCACTACATCTCCCTGGAGAACAGGGAATATATAGTATATATACAGTATATATCTATATTGTGACAATTGTCCAATTATTCTTATTCTCTCCTCTCTGTTTTTATCCAATTACCCATGCATAAGTGGATCCATCTGCCTTAAAAAGACCATACAGATAAGCAATGCAATTTCTGTATACACTACCTTGCTCCCTGGAAAACCCAGAGAACCATATGAGCCAGGAATTCCCTACAGGAATTAGGGAAAAAAAATATGTAAGGTTTTACAGATACCAAAAAGACAATGAAAAAGCAAAGGGTCATTTGGATTTTATAATGAACCAAAACATTATTTAGAATAACTTTTGTTTTATACATGGCAGAAAAGATGTCTGATGATAGACAAACTATGTGAATGACAAATTGATGAGAATTTATTAAGTACTTTCACTAAATTACAATAAAAAATAAAAAGTAATGCTCTAGACTCTTTTATTAAAAATATAGTCCACAAAACATTTTTTTTCATTTTTCTAGTTCCTGGGTAAATTGATCGATCAATCGATTGATCTATCTGCATTTTTCAAACTTGGCAACTTTAAGATGTGTGGACTTCAACTCCCAGAATTCCTTTTTCACACCACACCTTACCTAATTAAATCCTAGTCTGTGTATCTTTTCCACCCTCTGGGGGAGATGGGTGGCATATAGATTTAATAATAAAAATAAATTTTTTAAAAAAAGTCCCCAGCCAATATGTCAGCTTTCTCCAACCTGGTACCTTCATGACTTATTGACCTGTAACTTCAAATTTCTCAGCTAGTAGAAAATATAACCATGGATTGGAATTGTAAACCAATCCCACTGAGAGGCTACCAGAGTGGGGCGGAGTGTGTATTGTTTTTCTGTGAAGTCCATATTATACTCAAAAGAATAGGCATACAGATCTTCTACAGGAATGTTTCTCAAACTTGGCTACATGAAGATGGGTGGACTTCAACCCCCAGAATTCCCCAGCCAGCATGGTTGGGGAATTCTGAGAGTTGAAGGCCATCCATCTTAAAGTTGCCAAGTTTGAGAAACATTGCCATACAGAAAGATTTTGGTTAATAAGAAAATAAATACAGAATAGCTTTGGTAGCCACAACTACTTTTATGTACTTCTACTATATGTGGATTTAAAATAGAAGTGGCAACCTCCTTCACAATGCTCAACTGATGGCTCATAAATTAAGCATTCCAAATATCAATTTGCAATAATATTTCATAAAATCATAGTTTAAAAATCCTACATAGAGGATATTAGAAAGTATAGAAAATACTTTTAAAACATTGTACCATTAAAATGAGATGAAGATAGCATTCTGGCATTTCCTTACCTGCATTCCAAGAAAACCAGGAATCCCCTTTTCACCCTTGTCTCCAATCGCAAATCCACCCTGTTGTGTTTCAAAACACACCGGTTACATAATTTGAGGATTGGTTGCCATTTACCTCCAAGGAAATTAGCAAAGGGGTAAATGTGCTCAGTTGGATTAGGATTACAGCCACAGAAGGGAGCATATTGTTAAAGGGGGCTATGCTTTTTCTAATTTTGAAAAAACAAACAAACAAGGGCCTCATCTCATTAACTCCAAAGACCTGTTGCTACTGTCATCCAAGTCCAGGTGGATCTAATGGCTTACCCAAGAACAATTAATTTACTTAATTGCATCCCTCCCTGCCATTTGTTTAGAGATTTATTTTAGAGCAGTGTTTCTCAACCTTGGCAACTTGAAGATGTGTGGACTTCAACTTCCAGAATGCTGGCTGGGGAATTCTGGGAGTTGAACTCCGCACATCTTAAAGTTGCCAAGGTTGAGAAACACTGGCTTAGCTACATAGCTGAGCTGTCCTTTTTCACACCACACCTTACCTAATTAAATCCTAGTCTGTGTATCTTTTTCCCCTATTCTATACACTTGCAACTGGTTTTTCACTTGTATTGTGCTGGGAAATGTGTCATTTATCAGGCCAGAAGCAACATATACCATTTTGGGGCCATGGCACTCTTTCCCAATATCTCTTCTATCGAAATCTGAAGACAAATCTAACATACAGTATGTACTCACTCAGGGAGATGACAGTTGATAAAATGGGATTACACATATAAAAATAAACACACATTTAATTGAGAAACCTCCTTCTCAGCATACTAGGTAAGTAGTGTGATGAAATGAATGCTATCTATCCATTCATGAAAACGTGTCACTTACTTTGCGGCCAGGCAATCCTTTTGAGCCAATAGATCCAGGCATTCCCTTTATTCCCTAAAGATTAAAATGTTCTTGCTTTAATATAGTTTAAATAAAATAATTTTAGCGCTGTTATACTCTGTACTGCAGTGCTTTCATTTTAAGAAGATTAAGTCAAAAGGATTAAATGATCAAAATTAACTCTATAATTATTTTTCCCCAAAAATCTATTTTATGCCAGCAGCTACTTTGATATAGAGAATAATGGCTGATTTCACTCATTACATTAAACCATGATTTGTTCAAATTGTGGTTTATTTAATAATCCAGAATAGCCTGGTTCATGCACAATGTTAAGTTACAGATCAGATGTAAGCAGCCTATGGTGTTCCATAGGTTGCTGAACTACAATTCCCAGCATCTCTCACCATCAGCCATGCTCCTAGGTTGTAGTTCAGCGTTGTCCAGCATCAGGGCCACAAGTTGCCTATCACTGCCATAGCTTGTGGTTTACAAACATCAATGACAGATTTCACATACCATGCTAAGTCAATACCAAACACACCATATTCTGGCTTATTGTAATGTAAAATCAGCCATTAAGAATGTCTAGCAGGTCCTGGTAACCCAGCAGAAGAAAAAGGACCATTACAAATGACACCTCGGCCCAGGGGAGGGGGGAAGCATGAGAAAGAAACTCGGAGCAATTCAGCCTTAATTACACTGGGTGTAAATTGAGCAAGAGAATTGCTTTGACAGGTTTTCAAGATTCTGCTACATTTCCCTTTCCAAAATTCCAAGGGGTTCTTGCTTCCTGAGTTTGCCAGCCTTGCAGAATATAAATTCCATGGAACTATCACATACAGCCTGCTAAGATAAATTTAGCTGCTCAGGATGTTGATATGGTAATACAAGTACCTGTCTCTTGCATTTTGCCATAGCTTATTGCCATAGCATTTTGCCATAGCT